TATGTTTTCCGTTTGAGTGTATGCTTTGCAATCTTACCTGTGTTGAAAAGCGTCTATTGTTTATCACAGCTTATCATATTTTTTACTGATTTCAACACACATCCTACTTGTGGCTGTAAAATTTTCATACATACTTATCTTAACGACTTATAGCAGATTTATAGTCGATTACTTTTCAGAAGGCGATGAACAGTCAGTTGGAATGGGTAAAGCTCCTGCCGGCTTTGGCATGTCACCACCCACTCCTGCACAGAACGTGCGACATTCTTCACGTCGAAGCCTTGATCCTGACCAGCCTTCCAATAAGCGTCCACGACTTGTATTCACAGACATTCAAAAGCGAACCCTGCAGGTACGTTCAAGTCTCAAAAAGTGACGTGTAATGTCACGATAGTCAAGACAGAATTCCCGTGTTAACTTCTGTGGATCTCATGTTTGATATCAACGAAAGCAGCAAAGCGCTGTACTTGCATACAGTTTTCTTCCTAGCTCTTTTAAGACAGACAAATATGCTTGACAATTTACTATCTGGATGGATACATTTATGTGATGCTTGTTTTTGTTCAATTTTCCCTCGCTGTCGTAACCTACTGTCTATTATGACTTTTTTTACTTTGTGTGTGTGATACCTTTTTGCTCAAATTTTATCATGAGGTTTGAGACGGAAGTAATTTTTCATGAAGAAAAATTTTCGCAGAACCGGCAGACAAAAACGATTATCTTCGTACCGGCTATTCATAATTCGATAATAAGTGTCTGAATAAACGTAGAACTACACCAACTAGTGTGGATGTAATTCATTTCCATGTAGTGCTTAACAATAAATTTTTGTGCTTATAGGCGAAATTAACAGGAGTCAACGCCATCTGAGCATCTTCTCATGTTTTGTATTCAGGCAATATTCAAAGAAACGCAACGTCCTTCGCGTGAAATGCAGCAAACTATTGCTGAACACCTTCGTTTGGATTTGTCCACCGTCGCAAACTTTTTCATGAACGCTCGTCGACGAAGTAGGATTGGTCCAAACAGTGACGAACCGCAACCTTACCAGCAGGTCGGTGTTATTATTGTACACCATTGTTCTTATCTTTTATGTATTTCTTTGTGACACATTTATTAGGTAACATATTCATAAGTAGGGGTGCAGTTTATACAGATCGTTGTTATGCTGCGAAGCACAAATTGAAGCCTGAATAATTATGTTGTTTCTGTACATCAAATAGCTACAATATATGAAAACCAACTTCTCTTTCTGTGACTCCTCCTCCCAATAAACCTCGGTGTCGATAATGATTGTCACGGCAGTGTTTTAAGCTATCCATATTCCATTGGTGTCGACCTTCCATGAAAGTGGCTATAGACCTCAGAAAGCAGGTACAAGAAGATAAAAAGACAGAGTTTGGTTGTGGAAAGCGTAAGAGTTGTCCTTTAGCCGTACAAGTGAGCCTCGTTTATTTGGATTGCAACACAAGTTCTTTTTTTGCGCTAGTGTAACAAAACTTATCCTACCTCCTAGTAAATCGAGAGAATCTCAATCTTCACAATCACTAATGCAGAAAACTAGATTTTAGTTAAGATTTTCCTAGACGGTAGTTAACACTCTCTTGTCCAATTACAGGTACGCCCTATATCTCCTCCACCAGATTCTCCTCCATCAGGAGCTGCTGGTGCTGGACCCATAACAAACGGTCCACCAATTGCGCATCCACGTAATCGACGTCAACCTGCAAGCATGCAGCATGTCGAAGCCACAGTAAGTACTGTGAGCAAATCACTTCCTACGTGTACTCCTTTGTTTTCATTTTTCGAAATGGTATCATTTTTCTTTAGGTTAGCAGCGTGGCGGAATCTGCCATACAGTATAGTCGTGAGCAGGCTGCTCACGACGCTGCTGCCATGCGTACCGGTCCCATAGACGAGGAAGGTTACAAGGTAGCTCAGGAGGCCGCTGCTTTGCGAAGCAATTCCATCGATGAGGAGGCCTATAAGGTTGCCCATGATGGTGTGGCAATACGACCGAATTCCATCGACGAAGAGAGTTACAAGGTACTATTTTTGGCTTGTTTTTGCTGTTTTTCCAAGCTTCGCATTTCGTTTCAAAAATCTGCTTTTCAAGATGTATAAAATGAATGACCCGTTGGCTGACGAAACAGGCATATCAATCGTTGGCGCGAATGTTCATGACCTTTACAATAATGGCAGTGACACAAATGTTGAGGTTGGTGTGAACAATTCATTTTTTTTTTGTTTTTCCGCAAGCAATGATTAGTTTTCATGATCTGCTCCATTCGTATAGAAGCGAAAACTTTTGATAACGATGATAAGCTTTTCGAACCCTTACATTAGAGCATTGCTCTTCGAACTTTTTCGCTATCATAAGCAAGTTTTCTTCTCAAGACTAGTTTTCTGTTTAGCGCACTTATCATTAAAGGAACAAAGAAGTGATGTAGGCGCAGCAGTCAATCGCGCGAAGGTTCCAGGATTCGTTGTTCGGTCCAATTTTTGACTTTACCTTCGGTTTTCTGCCTGATAAGCATTACCTCCTACATCACTCAAGAAAAGACTACACGGAATTGTGCATTGCAGTATTTAGCATCACTTTTATATACTAAGCCGTGTATTTTGAATGGTCAGCGTTCTCTAACTTGTTCGTCAGCATCTTTCACGTATTGTCATGTCTTGATCTACCATTTTTTTCAATGATTTTCGGTTTTTGTGCTTGGGGTCATCATTGTGCTGCTTCTGCAAAATATCTGTTTGCGATTTAGAGTTTCGTTATTATTGATTTTCATTTTCAGTCATTGACTTCCACCAGTACGTCTCCGGTGAACGCTGTGGAACAGCGAGGTGTGGTAAAGAAGGAGAACGACGGCCTAGCCGAAGAAGCAACTGCGCAATGAACGGAGGAGTATTCTTACCTCACCTCGTGACCAAACACACCATTTTAGCCACTTGCCATTGAATAGTCTGTTGAGTTGTGTATAGCCGACGGATTTCCTTTCAGTCTCCTTTTCATTTTGCAGTTATATCCACAATATGTGGTGTAAATAGATATGAACGGCGCTGGGGTTGCCGCGATTGTAGGCTGGTGGTTTGCCGACTCCGTTTTCCTGATTTCTCTAAGTCAGCCTCATGCGCACGATGGCGTGTTTGTTTCTTGCATTTTTCGCACGTTGTGTAGCTGTTGTCGTCACAGCGCATCGCTTTCATCGCACGCTTTTCATCGCGCTTCGCTGTGGCTGCGCACAATGGGCGGGTCTGCCATGATGATATTCTATATCAGTATGGTCGTGTTTTCAATCCCAAAGTATTCTCTCATTCAGGCTTCTAGCCTTCTCGGTGAATTCAGCTTCATTTTGGCCTCATTCTTCTCGCGAGTTTGATCATTAGAAGTGGGCAGTGTAGGCGTTTGTTATTAATCAATTTCAGCGATGTTTGGGAGTTTTTTCTACTTCGTAGTTCTCTGTTCTTAACCCTCTATTGTGCTGTGATGTGTGATTCCCGTTCAGTCCTTAGAAGATATTAGAGCCTATGTGTAGTCTCGGTCTGGAGTCGAACAATCGTGCCGTCTTCCTATGCATCTTGACATGTCCCTCATCACTTATGAGCGATCGGATGTCCTCATCGCAAGGCTTAGCTGTCTTCGTTTCATTCTCTTTCTTCTTCTTTTGTTGGTCAGCACTGTTCGTCACTGGTTCAACTGATATTTTATAATTTCACATGTTCTATTTCATACATCTGGATGGTGTTATTCTCATTACTCATAGTTCATGTGTGTAAAGATTGCATTATACAAACTTGTTTCTAATGGAAATAATAAATGATAGGTCTTTTTTTGCTCTTGTATAGGTTATGCACGCAGTTTCTTTGAGCTCCCGGTCATTCCTAATAAAATTTGTTTGAAAAGACAAAGATGGAAGTGTTCGAATTGCATTCAAAATTATTTCTCGTGTGTGCGCAGCACAACATTCAAAGATGGCGGTAGAGGTGACTTGTAACACAATTTGCCCAAACTTCTGCGGGCCTTTTCAGACGTAAGGTTTTCTGTGTGCACTGATAAACCGGACAAGGTATAAGAGGTAGGAAAGAGAATTGTGGCTATGTACAGTCCATGTCAACGTTGTCCCTTTTCCACTAGCTCGAATCGCGATGTCAGAACCAAGCGGCTTTTGCGCGCGTATGACTTGGGGACTCGAAGCTTGCCTTATCGATCGTAAATCGCCGCGCTGGGCCCTTGCGCTGCGGACGCGTGGATGCTACAGAAAAGGGAGCATGCGGTTGACACCGACAGTATCTACTCCTTCAAGCACTAAACGATGTTCCACAAGTAATAATATGCTCGTACACGTAAATACGTGGTGACCCTTTGGCGCAAGTAGTGTGCCATTTTCTTTAGTTTCTTGCTGGGAGATTGTTGTAATGCTGTTTAGTGCTATATCCTTTTCACAATGCGTGATTGCGCTTGCATTTGGCCCCAAAACACATGTCGATGAAGTAAGGGGGCATGAGCTTCGTGACTTCCAATTAACACGACCATTCAGCAGTGCGCTATCCTGGGATTTGTATGGTCCGTTCTTTCT